CGCTCCCGCCGGCGCGGTTCTGCCGGTCCCATGGAATTGGGGTTTGAACCGACCCGTGATTGTGCATCAGAAACTGGAACGCCAGAATCGCCCCTCCCCCAGACCCTCTGGGGAATCCAACACATCTGGACTCCTGGGGACCCCGGTCTGCATTTTGGGAGGGAGGGGTAAAAAAAAAAGTGTCACTGAAAAAAATTCTTCCCGGCTCTGACTGAGCTCTCCAGGTGGGGCAGGGACACCTCGCGCTGCAAGCGTGAATTGGGAAGGGTATGGGCTTGCCCTAGTCATGGACTCGTTGTGTTAGGCGCTGTACAGAGGTGGAGCAACAAAAATGGGCCCGGCACTAAGTTGCTTCCAGTCTTAGACAATGCAAATTATAACACGATGAGATTTTTAAAAATGAGTTTAGGCTCTTTTTGGTTGTTTTCAGTGTTTATATTTTCCAGCTTTAATTTAACAAAACAAAACAACCCTCCCTCCCACTCCTACCGCCCTCCCCGCCCCCGATTTTCCAATGAAAGCTAAGAGTCCGAGGCATTCATATGTGCTGGGATGTAAAATATCATTTTAAAAGTTAATCGTTTAAATGGCAACAATTATGTTGTTTAAATAGTTAACTGATTACAATGAGAGAGGCTGTGACTGGGCTGGGATTGAACAGTTGTTGAGGCGCTGTTTGGCTGGCCCAGGGGTTAGCAGTTAAGCTGGGTGAACCAGGAAGACTGATGCTCACCGATTAACTGGTTAATATTTTACATCCCTAATGCAAGGCCCGAAGGGACCTCTCTATCTAGTCTGTCCACCTGCTTAGCATAGGCCTTGGAACTTCCCTTCAAATAATTCCTACAGCAGATCTTTTAGAAGAAACATCCAATCTTGATTTTTAAATTGCTAGCCATGGAGAATCCACCATGTCCCTTGGTGGATTCCACTACTTAATGATTCTCACTGTGCTCAATGTATGAATAATCTATATTTGTAAGTATTAAAAAGTTACTATAATGTAAGTGTTGCAACTGTGCACATTGTGGTTCCCAACTATAAAATAATTTAAATAATACTGGTCCCAATCTTGAAACAAATGCCTGTCAGTCCTCAAAATAATAACTGGAAATTCTTAATCTGTATAATTAATACACAATCTAACAATCCCAGCAACAGGCAGATGCAATACCAAGAGAAGCATTTCTCTATCCTTCTCCAAATTAATCTCCCCGCCCTCATAGAACATGCAGGGTTCCTCTAATGTGGCCAGAGAATCCTGGCCTGAGACTACCCCTTGCACTTCTAGGCTACGTCTACACTGGCCCCAAATTCGGGAAAAGGGATGCAAAGCAGGTAAGTCAGCATAGGGAAATCCGCGGGGGATTTCCCTATGCTGATTTACCTGCTTTGCATCCCTTTTCCGGAATTTGGGGCCAGTGTAGACGTAGCCCTAGAGTACTAGTTGGAATCAGTCCTGAACCCAGTCTTGTTCCTAGTTTCAATGACACTGATCAGTAAAGGGCACAGCAGCATCCACAAAACACCTGTCTGTCTGTCATGAGCTATCCCAGACTGCTCTGCCAGGGGGCCCTAGTGTAACTGCCACGTCTCTTGCAGCAACCCTGGAAACATGAGGTACATCAGCACTCGAGGAGAAGCCGGAAGCGTTGACTTTGAAGGAGCCCTCTTTTCTGGCTATGCCCCGGATGGTGGCCTTTACATGCCCAAGGAAATCCCTACCCTGGACTATCACACCCTGCGAACATGGAGTACCTTCTCCTATCCAGAACTGGTGAAAGAGCTGAGTTCCCTCTTCATCTCCTCTGAACTCATCCCACGGAAAGAGCTGAACGGTAAATGGAAACTGGACTGCAGTGCAAGCAGCCTGCTGTAGGGGTCGCTCGGTTTGTAGCAAAGATTTAGAGGACCCTGTTACCTTGCCTTGTATTAACCCATCATCCTAATAACCTTGATCCTCACTGGACCTGTACAGGCCCTTAGTGGCCAGAATCTGCATAGTTATTTTAATATTACTCTGCTCTTTCTCCCCTCCAATTGTGTCATCAACTTGGTCTTGTCATCACACTAGCTTATTGGAGATCTGCTCCTCTTGTGAAGACAAGCGGAAAAGTCACCAAATCCTGTCTGTCTGCCTATAAATGTCATTCTCTGAAAGGGTCAATGCAGTTTCCTAGGTTACTGTAGAAAGGGACATCTCTACTGCAAGTGGATGCAAATACAGTGTATCTAATGCTACAGTATCAGTGGTACTGGGCACTAGGAATGTAAAAAGTCAGTTAAAAAGGTAACCACTGAAAATCCTAGCAGTTTCATGGTTACACAAGCTGCAGGCTCTGCAGTATAAAACTTAAATAAACTTTATACTGCAGAGCCTTCAGTGAAGCCTCCTTGGGATGAGGAGGGTTCACTGTAGGCTCTGGAGCTCCTGCCATCCCTGCTCCTGGGGAGCCAGCATGTAACCTGCAGTGGGGGAGGAGGAGGCAAGCTGGCCATGGACAGGGGTTGCTCTGGCCAGGTAATCGGAGCAGCCCCTGTCTGCAGTGGCTTCTATGGGGCTGGAGCAGTCCCCGTCTAGGGCAGGTGGGAAGCTGCTCCAGCCCCTATGGTTAACCAAAACCGGTAAGTGTTACCCATTTAGGGTGATGCTTACCGGTTAGCCGGTTAACCTTTCACATCCCTTCGGGGCATCTCTGTGTTGTCTGCTGCAGCCTCAGCCCACACTGCTGTTCCATATAGAAAACTCCTTTTAAGAACATGGGAGAGTATCATATGGGCCCTTTGCTGTATCAGAGGGTGAGCATGGAAAGGATACGCTGGCTCTGTCACCTTTGTAGCTTCCCAGCCCACAAACGTGTTTAAGTCTCGGCTTGACAAAGCACTGGCCAGGTTGATTTAGTTGGGATTGGTCCTGCCTAGAGCAGGGGGCTGGACTTGATGACCTTCTGAGGTCTCTTGCAGTTCTATGGTTCTATGAGTCTGCGATAACGTTATGTGCACCATTATGGAGGTGGTGTCCTACATCACATATTGGAGCACATAACAAAATTCATTCTGCACATGTGGGGGGAAAATTCAGAGGGAACGCTGCTTCTTGTCTCTCACTTCCATACCTCTGTGGTACTGGAGAGTCTTGGGTTTCTCAGTAAAGAGTCTGATGAGCTTGGCAAACCATGGTCATGATGAGGCTGACGTGTTGGAAATTTATTGCTGGTACCTACTGTAACCGTCCTCATCAACTGCTTCCCTCTAGATCTGATTGACAGGGCCTTCCGGCGGTTCAGACACAAAAACATTGTGCATCTAGCCAGGCTGAAGAACGGGTTGAATGTTTTGGAGCTCTGGCATGGGGTCACTTATGCCTTCAAGGACTTGTCCTTGTCCTGCACTGGTCAGTTTTTACAGTACTTCCTGAAGAAGAGGAAGAAGCACGTCACGATTCTCGTAGGTAGGTTACAGCTGAGCAGATGGATGCAAGCAATGTACTTGGCATTTTCCCTGGTGCAGGGGCTGCTGAGAGAGTACAATGGCCTTATGTGCGTCTGCTGCACTGGGCTATATATTATATGGACTCTATTCTCCTGTTAGTGCTTGTGAATGGAACTGGGTTGTTAACTAGTATGTAAGCCTCCAGGATTATCTCCAGAACACAGTGGCTAATATGCCTCACTTGACCTATAGAGGGCATCTTTCATAGGCACTGACTCCATGCATGCTCTGGGGTTGGAGCACCCATGGAAAAAAGATTAGCAGGTGCTTGGCACCCATTTGCAGCCAACATCTCCTTCTCTCCCAACTCCTCCTGACCACTGACAGCCCTGCCAATTAATTCTTCCTTCCTCTCTCCCAGTGCCTCCACCTGCCACAATCTGCTGTTCTACTGAAGGTGGGTAGCTGTGGGAGGGAGAGGAGCGGGGACAGGACATGCTCAGCAGAGGGGGTGAGAAGAGGTGAGCACGAGTGGGGTGGGGCTGGAAGCTGGAGAAGGCAGGATTGGTGTGGAGGGGTGAGGGAAGGGATCAGGTGGGGGCGGGGCCTGTGGCAGAATGGGAATTGAGCAGCCCCTGGGCCTGCAGGCAGCTGCCATCAATGGCATCTTTACTGCATCAGCCTCCCATTCAGTACTTGATGCCTCTGCTGAGACCAGCAAGGATGCCACTGGTGGTGGTGGGTTGTGATGCAGGCATTTGGGCTGAGTTTCCATTGTTGGGTGCCGGGTACTAGGGATGTTAGTGTGTAATTGAATAGCTGTGTAACCACCGTAGCCGCACTAACCACTCTAGCCTGCCCTCCTCACCCTCCGCGATGCTGCCTCTCTATCAGAGGCAGTAGCGCAGGGGCAGGCAGATTCAGTGCTCATCGGTAGCCTACTTAAAGCCAGCTCCTCATGGGCACCGGCTCCCATTCCTCTCCCCCAATGTATCTGATACAGAGGCAGCAGGGGGGAGGAGAGTGTGTGTAGTCAACAAGATTAACTAGTAAGCCCAGGTTTATCGGTTAATCGTGTAGTTGACTACACGTTGATATCCCTACCCTATACCTGGCACGAACCAAAAATATCCCGACCTGCTGACTGCAGCCTTCTTCTGTGTGAGAACACACATCTGGCTGAGCTTTCCCACCTTTGATTAACTCTTAATTAATATATATCACTCAGATTTTTCTCCTTGATTATGTTCATGTGTTACAGGAACTTCAGGAGACACTGGCAGCGCGGCAATTGAAAGTGTGCGAGGCGAAAGCAGTATGGACATTTTTGTTCTATTACCCAAAGATCTCTGCAGCCAGATACAAGAGCTGCAAATGACGACGGTGATCGAGGAGAACGTCCACGTGTTCACTGGTTTGCATGTCTTTGGGTGACCTACTTTATACTGTTGCTGGGTAGATGCTAACGTCAATCCCAATGTTTACTGGCCAGTAATTCTAGAAAGTCTTTGGGGGATTGTGTTATACCCAGCTCCCACTATGGCCGTACCATGTTGGGCTATCAGACAGCACAACTTGCATTCAGAATTGTTGTAGCAATGCGGGTTCCAGGATATTAGAGAGACAAGGTAGGTGAGATAATATCTTTTTGTGACCGGATCCCCTTGGGGTGCAGCCTCAGACTGTGGAGCCCCTGTAGCCCGCTGAACTCTCTACAGCCTGGGATGTCTTTCACAATGCCTTGCTAGCGACCAGCAGCAACCCCTCCAGGTCCTGTTATCACTCAGCACCACCACATGTGGAGCCCCACCCCCAACAAAATTGCATGAATGCTCCCAGAGCCACTCAGGAATCCCTCAGAGTAAGGCAACAGCCACATTTCCTTCCCCCAACCTCCCAATTCCCAGCACTGCACATCAGGGATATGCTGTCTGATTTATGAATGGGTTCACCAGAGTCAATTTGCCACATATGTACAGATTCACAGGTAAAGATAAACAGTGAAACAAGTGTATTGACTTCAGCAATAGAATTTAAGTGACTATATGTGTTAGACAAAAAGAGTAGTTATAAATATAGCCACCCAGTCTAAACACTCAGCTCTCTGAAACTGCATATCAACAAGACCCAGCAGTTTTTCTCACTTCGCTGGATATTGAAATTGACTAATTTTCAAATACCAGAGCCATGAAACTGACCAAAATGGACCTTGAATTTGGTAGAGCCCTACTCATGACTCCCTTTGGCCAGGCAGCACTCTGAGGGTACGTCTACACAGCAATATTAATTTGAAATACCTAGTGTTATTTTGAAATAACTTAGTCTGGGTATGTCTACTCATCAAAGTTATTTTGGGATACTCAGAGGTATCCCGAAATACCTACCCCACATCTTCACAAGCCACCATTATTTCAAAATATTTTTTGAAATAATGGGTGCGCTGTTTCAGCATCCCGGTAGCCCTCATTCCACAAGGGTTAAGGAATGTCTCGAAATAGCACTTCATTTCAAAATAAGCTACATAATTTGCATAGCTCAAATTGCATATCTTATTTCGAATTTAGAGTGCAGTGTAGACATAGCCTCTATGTCTACACAGCAGGCAGTTATTTCGAAATAATGTTGAAATACTGTCAAGTGGGAGGACTTCTTACTACCACTCCTGTAACCCTCATTGTGCAAGGATTAAGGGAAGTCGGAAGAAGAGTGCTCTATTTTGAAATAAGTGCTGTGTAGATACTCCTAATTTCAAAATAAGCTATTTAAACTTAAACTACACAATTGACATAGGTCAACTTGCGTGGCTTATTTTGAGTTAAGCCCTGCTGTGTAATGCGACCTGAGTTACCGAACAAAACTGGAAGCCACGTCCTGACTCTGCTGATGGTTCATGGCATTGGAATAAGCTAGAAATGGGCCTGAACCAGAAACCCAGATCCAAATGCCCTTAAAAGTTGGGAATTCTTGAGTACCTCAGAATTAGAACCTCATCTGGATCCAAATATTGCTGTTGGACTTCTCTCTGTGTGATGACTGAACCAAACCCCAGCTCCATACTCCAGTTTGATGGCTGGAATTACCTTTCAGTCTTGAATCCCATTAGTAGATGAAAACATAGGCATAAAATATGTCACCAATTTCAGTAACATTTTTATTAATGCTCCTGACTATGATGTCCTCTTTTCCGCAGCTCTTGGAAACAGCGATGAAATTGATGAACCAATCAAAGAATTGTTTGCTGATGCAGATTTTGTCAGACAACACAATCTGATGAGTTTGAACTCAATCAACTGGTCCCGGGTTATGGTGCAGATCGCTCACTACTTCTACGCTTACTTTCAGTGCACTCCATCCATGGACGTGACTCCACTGCCAACTGTGGAAATCGTTGTACCAACGGGGGCTGGAGGAAATGTCACAGGTAAGGTGGGGGGGAAAAGACATTCTTTGGGCCTTAAAACAGCAAGCAGCTTGAGATGAAAAGGGAGGTTGTGTTTTATTTTTTGTGGAGGGATAGCTCAGTGGTTTGAGCATTGGCCTGCTAAACCCAGGGTTGTGAGTTTAATCCTTGTGGAGGCCATTTGGGGCAAAAATTTGTCAGGGATGGTACTTGGTCCTGCTGAGAAGGCCGGGGACTGGACTCAATGACCTTTCAAGGTCCATTCCAGTTCTAGGAGATAGGCAATCTCCATTATTAAATTAAACACTTACATCATGATTGTTCATATTTAAGTCCCAACAACATTGTTGGTGCCACATGAGGCACAGATAATCCAACACTATGATATGGTGCCATATATAGATATCACGGGAGTGAACACATTAGAAGTACACATGAACAGAATGAGTTGTGTATTAAGGCACCTGGCCAAAAAAAAGGTTCTCTCCACTACTCACCCCCACTTTACGTGAATCGTATCTTTTGTAAAAACAATACAAGGGGATGTGAAAAGTTGCATTCTTGGTAATTGAGGGGCAGCTATCTGAAGCTGCATTAGCAGGGCCCTGGGAGTTCAGTGTCCACATCCAATCGGATGATGCTTTCCATTCAAATGGCCATTCTCAGCACTGTATCTCCTAATATGATGGTGCGGTCCACAAAGATCCTAGAACCAACCATGTTGCAGTTTCTCTTGCTATGAGACTGATCAAATGGAGCATTGCATAGTAGAAACTAGCTTTCTTTGGGTATATTAAACATAGAGCTGCATTATGGAACACAATAATAGCACTTCCTGATAAATTGGCATGAATGGAGGAACAATGATTTCACTGGTAAATCTGCTTTATGAGAGTTTTGTCCTGGAACTAAAGGCCACATTTTTGAATTTTTCTTTCTTAGGTGGATATATCGCACAGAAAATGGGCCTTCCAATCCAACTGGTCGCTGTGGTAAATAAGAACGACATTATCCACAGGGCAATTCAGCATGGAGATTTCTCATTGTCAGAGAGTGTTAAGCCCACCTTAGCTTCTGCAATGGATATTCAGGTAGGTGTCTGGCTAAGAAGGAGAGATCATATAAACTGTGTCGAATGATAGATCTACTAAAGGGCTATGTCTACACTGTAGGCTTTTTGTGCAAAAACTTGCGGTGCGTCTACACTGCATCAGTGTTCTTACGCAAGTAAATTTACAGTAAAGCATCAGAAAAGAGGGCTTCTTGCGCAAGAGTTATTCTTCTCTCCATGAGGAATAAGCCCTCTTGTGCAAGAGCTCTTGAGCAAGAAGGCAGAGTGGTCGGGCCACATGGGTTTCTTACGCAAAACACCCCTGTGGCTAAAATGGCCATCAGAGCTTTCTTGTGCAAGAGAGCATCCACACTGCCATGGATGCTCTTGCGCAAAAGCACATCTCTTGCGCAAAAGCACATGGCAGTGTGGACGCGCTCTTGTGCAAGACTTTTTGTGCAAGAGCTCTTGCGTAAAACAGTTCTTGTGCAAGAAGCCTGCAGTGTAGACGTAGCCAAGGTGTTTTGCTATCCATGTTTCGTTATATGTCGGCTCTTACACCACACTCAGCAGTGCGGAGTCTGGGGGCCTGCCGGTAGTGCATGAAGTGATGAGACTAACATGTCGTGTGTGGTTCATTCTCCCTCTGTCTCCCTAGGGAGAGAATTGTGCGTGCAGTGTGGTGCTTTGGTGGGGGTTGTTTTGTTTGGTTTACATGTTGCTGTGTGTTGATAGTACCAGTGGCGGGTTGGAGAAGTGCCACTGGCATTCGGAGAAGGTGAGGAGAGTTGTGATGGTCCATAGTCTCTAATAGGCCATTCCACAGCCTCAGACCATCTTCGAGGCAGCCCTGTCTCCTGTACAGACGAGCTTCTCCTCTGTGCTCCATTGGGTCTGAGAAGTGGAGTAAGTCCATGTTGTTCATCCAGGAGTTCAATGAAAAAGCCTGGGTCTTATTCTTTGCCAAGTTGTCCTCTTTGTTTTGTCTTCCTGTTGTATCCTTGGGCTGGCCACCATTAAAACATTGGGTTGACTCAGCTACGTTGCACAAGGGTGTGAAAATCCCCACACCTAAGTGATACAGTTAAGCAGCCCTAACTCCTCAGTGTAGACAGCACAAAATTCTCTTTCCACCTACCTACCACTTTCCGGGAAGAATTTTCTCCATATAATCAGTGTCTACACTGAAGTGCTATAGCTGTGCGGTGGCAGCGTTTCAAGAGTAGCCAAACCCCTAGATTTTAAGCTCTCTAGGTTGGGACTTCTCTTTCTTTGTTCATACAATGCCTAGCACGGGGGGGGGGGGGGGCTACTCTTTGTCTCCCATTCCTAGAAACTCCCACAATAATGCCATCTACAATATTTCCCATTGTGTTCGTGGTTTTCCTGCTGCCGTTTCCAGTTCTGATGAGCAACCGGACTGAGACCAGTCCCTTAAAGAGTATCTTCCGTATCAGCTAGTAGAGGGTCATCAGAGGGATACCTACTTTGTTATGTTTCTTCAAACAAGAGAAATTACAAATAAGGATTTAGAGAAATAGTAAACATATACTCCATTCAGCAAACAGCATCCCATTGTTTGCACTGAATGAGGCTGGAGTCCTGTGGAAGGGGTGTAAAGGGAGGGTCAAAAAATAAGCTTTAGCAGAAAAGTCTCTCATGTAGACATTCCATTCCCTCCAAATGTGAAATGAGCTGTGAATTGTTTTCTAGGAGGACTCAAGAGGGGTAGACTTGTTAGTCTGTAACTTTAAGAACAAGGAGCACCGGAATGCCATGGGGCCACGGGAATACTCGTTGTTTCTAGGAGGAGCAATTCCAATAATAACAGTAGTGTACAGGAAAAACTTAAACAACAAATAATCTGGTAGCACTTTAAAGACTAGCAAAACATGTTGTAGATGCTATCATGAGCTTTCATGGGCACAGCCCACTTCTTCAGAGGACTGGAGTGTTGGAAGGAATGTACAGGTCTGTGCAAACTTCTTTGCAGATAGCCTGGATGGAGCCAGGTAGCTGGACTTTTCCACTTTGGCTGAAATATGCAAGGAGCTGAACATCTGCAATTCCCACTGAGCGCACAGGAAGTCCTAAGCACGAAGTGTCGCATTAGAGATCACTGGTGCTGCAGCTTCTGAATTTGACTCTCAGTTGATGGAGGCTCATGTGTAGTGTGTCTTTTTATAGGCTCCGTACAATGTGGAGAGGATCTTGTGGCTGCTTTCGGACTGTGATGGCAGCCTGATTAAAACTCTGATGGAACAGTTTTACATGTCGAGAAGCCTGACCCTGCCAGAAGAATTACACAGAAAGGTCAGTCTCTGCATGTGTGTGTGCAGAGCAAATACTTTTCTATCATATTTTAAAAAAAAAGCTGTTTTCAGAACAGATATTAATGTTGCAAGTGTTTTGAAGATGTCATGTCGTCTGACACTTAAAATACAGGTATCTATCGATTTGGGGTGATGGAAGACAGGAGTGTAAAAAAACCTATGTGCATAGTAATCTTGTCATATAATCCTTTTTTAAAAAAATACAATTCTTTTGTTTGGATTTAATCATTCCCCTGCAATCCTAGAAACCCTAGTGCAGTAGAATGTGATTTATTAGCACAATGGGCCAAATCCAATGTAATTTCACTGACCAAGACTCTGATCCAGCATAGCTGTTAAACAAATATGTAACCTTAAATTTGTAGTGGTTCTATGGATTTCGTTGGGACTACATGCGTGCATAACCTTATAAGCCAGAGCTTTGGTGAATCCAGCATCCAGTGTGGGGAAAACAGAAAGCAAAAAGTAAACCCATCACATATGTCAGAGGGTTCTTTGGGTGGTTTGGGATTGATATCCTCAAGTACCAGCATCAGTTACATTGTGTCCCCCACACAGTGCAGTGATTAACCAACAGAGCTGGGTGTGCAAAAAAGCCTGGATAGGCTGGGTTGACCCAGATGATGACATTAATGTGTCCATCAGCCATGCTTCTGTGTCTTGCATTCAAGATACTAACAAATAAGAAGGACTTACATATAAGTGGTGACATCACAATACATTTCTTTTTGAATGATTTGACATGGCTTTGCAAATTCCACTGTGGTTTTTGTGTCTGATTGGGGTGTTTCCTGTGGCTTTTTTTCACCCCTCTCTGTGGATCTCCAGCTTTCTGACATCCTGCGCTCATGTTCCGTGTCTGACGAAGATATCGTTCAAGCAATGAGGCGCTGTTGGGAAGAGAACAGCTACCTGTTATGTCCCCACTCAGCTGTGGCTGTTCATTACCATTATAGGCAATTGAAGTGCCATCTTAGCAGGTAAGAAGTGACTAATAGAAAGCCAGATGCCTTTCAGGGAATGGCAGCAGGATAACTTTGGTTATAATCGTTTCATGGGAGGCAATATTTAAGGGCGGGTGTAACACGTTTCAGGCTAGCCTGGTGGGGATCATCGTGGGGTAGATAGAGTCAGGTACTTCTGTCAGTTGGACTGATGTCCCACTCACTTTGGAGTGATGATGCAGCTAAGCCACTCAAGTGCTGATAGTTCTCAGTGCCTCCCCGCAGTCCAAACCTCCCCACATGGCCAGAAGAATGGACAAGTTCTCCTACTGTTCACTGAGAGAAAATCATAGAGGGCTCAGTTTCAGAGGGTTAGCCATGTTCGTCTGTAAGGGTGTATCTACGCTGCACCCTTAGCTCGAAATAAGCTACGCAATTTGAGCTACGCAAATTACCTAGCTTATTTCGAGAGAATTTCAAAATAGCTTATTTTGTAATTTGGCACGGTCTCTATTCCTAAACGTCCCTTAATCCTTGTGGAACGAGGTTTACAGTGACCTCGGAATAGTGAGCCCATTATATTTTGAAATAACGGGCTCATTCAAAAGACACGGAATAGCTATTTTGGGATACTGGAAATATTTTGAAATAGTGCTGGAGTGTAGATGTACCCTAATAGAAAATAATTAAGAAACAACAAATAGTGCTGCAGCACCTTAGAGACTAACAAAAAATGTAGATGATATCATGAGCTTTCATGGGCACAAGCCCTTGTTCAGGTGAATGGAGTTCAAGGGGTCCAAATTCCACATAAATAGCAGAGAAAGAGAGGGGATGGGGAGGGAAAGGAAAGGAGAAATAAAATGGGAAAAGAATAGTCAGAACTTCCATGCTAAATGAAGCTAATAGAGAGAGTTCCAAATATTATTAAGTACCTGGTGTTTGATCTTTTATGTCATTAGGATGTAGGTATCAAACGTTACATGAAATTAAGCTCTGCAGCTTCCCTCAAGCTGTTTCTGAAATTGGCTTGTAATTGAGCGACTTCAGCACAAGGTGCTATGGGCCTTTTAGCAACACACACAAGAGGGAACCCTCCTGAGGACAATGAGACTGCAAGGCCCTGCCTGAGATACTGTGTCCTCATGGGTGCTGCCAGCTGGTGTGTATATTGCTAAAATTCAGGCTTGGCTAATCCCATTGGCTGTCTGACATCCAGCCGGTCTGACTCTGAACCGTATCCATGCCTGCTCTCGTTCTCCATGCCATTTACTTCCTTGCTTTCATGTCCTACCTTGACACCAAATGGTGGAACCTGTAGCCACGTGAAGAGATAAGGAACCCCAATAGCCAGTCCATACTCCACTCTAGTCCTGTGGATCACTTCATGATCCTTCATGAACCACACAAGATTTACGCCCTTGCTTATGGCTCCATGAACTTCCCTGACCCATTTCTTCGGCAGCACAAGGGAGGTCCCAGCTCACCTCAGAGTGGGTGCCTCAAGTTGCAGCCTCTCTTCTAGCTCCTACAGAAGCTGTGGCTTCACTTTCCCCCACACCTGATCCACTCACACCCCATCCGTACCTCACTTAGCTGCAGGAAGTCCTTGTGAACCACCTCCTGGCCAAGTCCGCCATCCATCACAGCGGGAGGAGAAAGATGGAGAGGGTGCTCTGGGGCCCTATTTCTAATCCCTTTGCAGATCACACTTCCGGGCATAGTTCCTCTGGGCTGTGTCCATTCATTCCTTACACACCTTTGAGGAGCTGTGGGCGCTTTCTGGAGTTCTCTGCTCAGTGTCCCCCACCTGGCTCCCTCCTTCCTAACCTTTGATACACTCCCTCCTGCCCCCCGCGTGTTTTCTTTTTCATTTCTCCCTGAGGGGCCTTTTTGTTTGGGTTGGGGCTACACCCGACTGGCCCCAGAACCACTGATAATGGTGCTCTTACATCCTATGTCTCTCTCTTCCACAGCAGACCCAGGTGCTGCTTAGCACCCGCCTCGGCAGCGAAGTTCCAGGATGCCGTGCTCAGAGCCAAGCTTGTTCCTGAAGTTCCGCCCGAGATACAAGCTTTAAAAGCGATGGAGACCAGGTCCACCACCCTGACGCGGGAAGACGACTGGGCAAAAACCCTAAGAGACAGAATAGAAGCCGTGGCCAAGCACAGACAAACCTAGGTGGAGTTCATCAGACCCTGAATATGGAATAACTGGGTGGTTGCCTATAAAAGAAAAAGCTGCCTTAGCCCTGGTCCACACTATGGAGTTATTTTGAAATAATTCCCCTTATTTCAAAATACCATCCAGAGCATCCACACTACCAAGCCTGTTATTTTGAAATAAAGGGCTGGTTATTTTGAAATAATAACTCCTGCTTTCCATGAGGAATAATGCTTATTTGGAAATAGAGTTAGTGTGGATGCTCCACTGCTGCTATTTTGAAATAACTGCTCCCCTAGAGTCATTCAGGGTAATTACTTCCCAGTACTTCCTGGGGCTCTAAGTCGAGGTAGAATGCCTGCAATAAGGGAGCCTGCCTCAAACTGATTTCGAGGCTTCCCTGTAGTGTGGATATGCTATTTCGAAATAGTTATTTCGGGCGTTATTTTGAAATGAAATAAATTCCTAGTGTAGACGTGCCCTTAATGATGCTTAAGCTTTCTGCTAGTTTCTCTTCTGTGAAAAGTCCTAATGAACTCGATAGAGGATTATAACATCTCCATATAACACATAACCCAAGCAATAGAATTTTATAGCAGGAATATAATTCTTGATCAAATTCTATAGAATGGTTTAGAATGGTTAAAGAAAAGATCTGTCTGTCAAATTCAATCAGGTTTTTAGCATAACTTCAGTAGACTCCAATGTAAACTCTCTGGACCCATATTGATTTTTATCTCTGTTAACATGAAAGGAAAAGTTCTTTTACATTATATTCAAAGTGCCTTACAAACATTAATCATCTAAGTCTTTACACGATTAATATAAGCCCATATCTTGCCTTTCCTAGAGAAAAATCCCTAAAGGAATACAATACAAATTGTTGTAATGATTTTTTTCCCCTGAACAGTTATGTTGTAATTTGAATAAGTGAAAAAAAATTGGTGTCCCAAGTACATATAATAAAATCAGTGCTGAATTCTGGCTTTTGTATCGATTTTTTTAAAAAAAATCTTGATAATGCTCAGAAGCTTCAGGGGGTAGCTGAGTTAGTCTGTTACAGAAAAAAAAGCAACAAATGGTCTGGTGGCACTTTATAGACTAACAAAACATGTAGATGGTATCATGAGCTTTCGTGGGCACAGCCCACGGTCATCTGAAGTGGGCTGTGCCCACGAAAGCTCGTGATACCATCTGCATGTTTTGTTAATCTATAAAGTGCTACCAGATCATTTGTTGGTTTTTTCTTGATAATGCTGAATTTTATCAGTTTCTTTAACTGTCCACCAGAGGGCACAGCAACATAACTTTTTCCTATTTTAAGAGCACATTAATTGAAAGAGTAGGGAGGAGTTGTCACTTCATACTGTTCAAGAGGCCATAAAGAATCTTTGCAGACTTGGATCTCCATTTAGATGTACAAGAAATGCCAGATCATACTTCAACAATACTTGCAGGGACTAATCTTCACAATTCAATATGTGAATTTTTCTGTCGGCGATTGCATGCCTTATTTGCATGCACACATATTGAATGCCTGCAAATGGAGGACTTGCACAGTCATTTACGTGCCCAAATAGTGGCACTGCCCAGGCAGTTGGGGTAATACGACATACAGATTAGACGAGCAGTTTGTCACTCCTGAGTGTGGGCAACGAACTGTCAAATGCAATCTACGGGTATGTCTAGACTGCATTGCTCTTTCAGTATATCGGAAGTATTCCGAAATAGCAACGCCACATCTCTAAAAGTGCCCGCACCCTATTCCGGCGTCCCTGTAACATTAAGAGATTTGTTGGAATAGTGCCTTACAGCACCAAATTTCAAAATAAGCTCTTTAGATTTAGACTCAGAATAAGCTACGCAAATTGTGTAGCTTATTCTGACAGAAGGGTGCGTCTAGACAGCATCCTAAGTCACATCACTGCAAATAACAGGGAGTTGCCAAAGAAGAAGAGTTTCCAGGTGGGGTAGATGAAGCCATTCCATATCCAAAGAGGACAGGATGTTTTCAGTTAAGGGAAGGTAAGTGCTGTGGGTACTTGGAAGAGCTTGGACTGATATATGGTGAGGCCAACTATATGTAGAATGTTTTTTCCAGTCAACTATATGAGCTCTTGCAAATGGACTATATGGGATTCTCTCTGGTGAAAATTAATTATTTTATTGACACTTGACACATTTTGTGTAAGATTTGTTGTTATTATATAACAATGGTATATGATCTACCTGGTCAAATGGCAATGATATACCTGGTCATATTTTAATCATTTGATGTCACACCAGTGTTGCAATATATTTATATGCCAGATGTGCTAAAGATTCATATGTTCATTCATGCTTCAACCACCATTCCAGAGAAAATGCATCTGTGCTGATGCCGGGTTCTTCTCGATAACAATCCAATATAGTGTGGACAAATGTGTTCATCTTCATCATCTGAATCAGATGCCTCTAGCAGAAGGTTGATTTCCTTGTTAGCGGTGGTTTGGGTTCCGTAGTTTTGACATTGGACTGTTGCTCCTTTGAGACTTCTGAAAGCATCTTCCACACCTCGATCCTCTCAGATTTTGGAAGGCACATCAGATTCTTAAACCTGGGTTTGACGGCAGTAGCTATCTTTATAAGTCTCACATTGATACCTTCTTTGTGCTTTGTCAAATCTGCCATGAAAGTGTTCTTAAAACAAACAACATATACTTGGTCATCATCCAAGACTGCTATTACAGGAAACATATGGCAAAATATGGGTAAAACAGAGCATGAGACATACAATTCTCCCCCAAGGAATTCATTCACCAATTTAATTAACACATTATTTTTTAATGAGTGTCATCATCATAGAAGCATGTTCTCTGGTATGATGGCGAAAGTATGAAGGGACATATGAATGTTGAGCACATCTGGCATGTAAATACTTTGCACGGCTGGCTACAAAAGTTCCATGCATATGTCTGTTCTCATTTTCAGGTGACCATTGTAAATAAGAAGTAGGCAGCATTATCTCCCATAAATATAAACAAACTTCTTTATCTTTCTGATTGGTTGACCGAGAATTAGGACTGAAGAGACATGTACACTCTAAAGTTCACATACCTTTGTTTTGAAGTGCAGTTATGTAACCAAAAAAAATCTACATTTGTAAGTTGCGCTTTCAAGATATAGACGGAACTAAAGTACTTGTATGAGGTGAATTACCCTTTCTTTTGTTTGTCATTTTTACAGATCAAATATCAATCAGAGAGTGAGCACTGTACACTTTGTATTCTCCGTTCCAATTGAAATCAGAATATTTGCAAATGAAGGGGAAAAAATCTAAAAATATTCAATAATTTTCAATTTTTTTATGGTGAGATTAACACTGGGATTAATCACAATTAATTTTTTGAGTTAATCACCTGAGTTAATGGTGATTAATTGACAAACCTAAAAACAACATACAGATGATGAATTCAGCACTGGTTGACCTGGAACTGACTCTGTAGCACCTCACAAGAGCTACCTCCAAGAGCAATTGATTACTGAGTGAATGATTGATGAGAGACTAAACAGCAGGTGGCCTTCAGTCTGTCTTTAGCGCCCAGTCCAAAAGTATTCATTAGACAAAACAGATTATGTAATGCCAGCATAGCATATTTTAGGGACATGTGACGCCTCTGAAAAAGAAGTAATAAATATTGGGGAATAGCATATGGTCAGTTCCCACCCCAGTATACATCTGAAGAGGCCTGTGACGGTCTAAAATGAAGGAGCCAGTGTAGTCAACAACCTGCTACGAAGGACTTGTGGGACCTGTGAGCCAGAGGGCTTCAGGGTAGCCAACAATCTGCTCCGGGGGATATTTAACTGACCAAGTGCTTGAGAGGAAGAGAAGAAACAAAGGCCTTCATCTAGGACTGGTAGCTATATCTGATTTGTTTGCTAATCAACATACTGTGTAGGGCCAACATAGTTACTCAGGGTTTATGCATGGGGAAGTGAGGCGTATTAGAAAGAGGCACTGTAAAACTTTTTTGCTGCCTGTTTGTGATTCTTTCAAATAAATAGCTTTGCATTAAAGAAAATTGAATTACTAATTGAATTACTGAACTGAGCACTAATACTGTAAATGTGACCAGCTGCAGGCCAGTAAAGGTCCCAGTTCATCCTCCCCAACATACAGGAATGTGAAGACAAACCTATATAAACTGGTGGAAGAAAAAGAAGCTAGAATGAGAGGAAGGATTGTCTTGTGGTTAAGGAAGAGGAATGGGCTCCAGGAAAACTGGGTTTTAGCCCTGACTCTGTCACTAGTTTGTTGTCTGACTTTGGGCGAGTCCCATAACTGCTCTATGCCTCGGTTTCCCCATCTGTATAACATGCTTTAGAACTTCCCCCAATTTCTTAGAGGAGAGCTTTTAGAAAAACATCCAATCTTGATTTAAAATTGGTCAGTGATGGAGATTTCACCATGAATCTCACTGTTTACAATTTATACCTTATTTCCTGTTGGAATTTTTCTAACTTCAACTATTAGCCATTGGGTGGGGTTACAACTTTCTCTCCTAGATTGAAGATTTGTTCTCTAGGAAGGTACTTACAGACAAGCCACCTCTTAATTTTCTCTTTGTTAAAATAAATAGCTTGAGCTCGGACTCTATCCTGGATAAGGCATGTGTTTGATCCTTTAATCATACTTGTGGCTCTTTCTGAACACTTTCCAATTGATCAGCATCCCTCTTGAACTGTGGGCATGGAACTGGACACAGTATTCTGGCAGCAGTCACACCAGTGCCAAATATAGAGGTACCGTAGCCTCTCTACTTCTGCTTGAGATTCCTCTGTCACTGTGTATGCAGCCCAGGATTGCATTAGCTCTTTTGGCCACAGAGTAACCCTGGAACCTCTTGTTCAGGAGATTATCCACCACTACCCCACAAGTCACTGCTGCCCAGAATAGAGTCCCTCATCCTGGAAGTATGGCCTATTCTCTGTTCCTATAGGTACACGTTTACAGTTAGCCATAACCATATAAAAATGCTGTTTGCCCATGCCCACATTACCAACCAATCCAGTAGTCCTGTGGCACCTTAGAGACTGAGGGTATGTCTACACTACCGAATTTTGTAGTGTAGTAATGTCTGTACTGCAATCGTGTTCTTTCTAAAGTAAATTGAAAGAACAGAGGGGGTTTTCTGGCGTTGGTAATCCTCTTTCTATGAGGAAGAAGCTTTTTTCCAAGAGTTCTTTCGGAAAAAGGCTTGTGTGGATGGGAAGAGGGGGAGTTCTTTAGCAAGAAAAGGAAAAAGTACAGGTGCCCTGGTGGCCATTCTGCCCATAGTAATCACAGCTTCCATGTGAGAGAGCGTCCATTCAGCGCATTGCTTTTTCGATGCGCTTTCGCAGTGCGGACGCTCTCTTTCGGAACAAGTTTTTGTGGAAGATCTCCGAAAGAAGCCTACAGTCTAGACATAGCCTGAGTAGGTAACTTGTCCCGGACTTTCTGCTACCCGCTGGTCAGTCAGCATAACTTGGTTTTGGCAGGTGAGTGTGGGCAGGTGGTGGCTGGTCAGTCAGAGCACATCGTAGCCTCAGGCTGGGTGGAGAAGTGGGAAAAACCAACGCCAGGTAGGAGGGTGTGTGTGAGGGGGAAGTAGGGATGAGTGTCACCCTTTCTCATGTGAAACCTAAAGCACCTCATAACCTTTCCAAAGACGCCTTTCTTGATAACCTATGCACCAGATTTGTTGCAAATACATAACAGTGGTAGCGACAATGATCTACACAGTCATAAATCAGTCAGCTAATGTCACAACTGCCACAGTACCAGCTGCCTTGGTGAATTGGTCCATTTCTATGTTTCCATGACACCAATCACTGAAGGGCACAGCAGCATCCACAAAACACCTGTCTGTCTATCTGTCATGAGCTATCCCAGACTGTTTCCCCAGGGAACCCTAGTGTTACTGTCACGTCTCTTGCAGCGACGCTGGAAACATGAGGTACATCAGCACTCGAGGAGAAGCCGGAAGCGTTGACTTTGAAGGAGCCCTCTTTTCTGGCTATGCCCCGGATGGTGGCCTTTACGTGCCCAAGGAAATTCCTACCCTGGACTATCACACCCTGCGAACATGGAGTACCTTCTCCTATCCAGAGCTGGTGAAAGAGCTGAGTTCCCTCTTCATCTCCTCTGAACTCATCCCACGGAAAGAGCTGAATGGTAAATGGAAACCAGACTGCAGTGCAAGCAACCTGCTGTAGGGGTTGGTCTGTTTGTAGCAAAGCTCTTAGATGAGCCTGTTACCTTGCCTTGTGTTAACCCATCATCCTAATAACCCTGATCCTCACTGGACCTGTACAGGCCCTTAGTGGTCAGAATCTGCATAGGTATTTTAACGTTACTCTGCTCTTTCTCCCCTCCAATTGTGTCATCAACTTGCATCTTAGATGAGACTGTTATTTTACCACAGACATCCTCAAACTGCGGGGGTCACACCCATCCCCTGTGAGCTGTTCAGATGTGAAGGCAATGCTGTTGCCAGCAGCAGTGCAGGAATAAGGATGGTGATTGGGCACAAAGTGTCGTGAAAAGCAATATTGGCAAAGTTTCTTTGTACCCCAACATTACCCAGTAATATTTTTTTAAACTCTTTCTGCTCATAACAATAATTCACTGAAATGTGCTTGTCTTAATTTAAAAGTGACGAGAAAAGGCAGATCCATTTTGAACGATGGGATATAAACTTAGCACTTAAAATCATGTTTAATATAAAACATGTTTTTAATTTATAAGTGGAGGGTGCACTCAAAGGTCAGTTGTGTGAAAGGGTCTCCAATACAAAAAGGTTGAGAACTGTAAGCCTATATTAATCCATCAGTCTAATAACCCTGATTCTCAGCGGTCCTATGAAGGCCCTTAGAAATCAGAATATCAATGTTTACTTTTAATGTTACCCTCTCCTTCCTCTCCTCCAATTGTTTCATCCACTTGATTTATCTTGTTGGCACACTAGATTGTTGGACACCTGCTCCTCTTCTGAAGACTGGCAGAAGAGTTGTTTTAAACAAACACAGCACAAAATCCTGTCTCTGTCTATAAATGTGTTTCTCTTAAAAGGCTAATGCAGTTTCCAAGCTTGCTGTAGGAAGGGAGATCTCTACTGGCAGTGGGTGCAAATACCAGCATGTATAATGTTGCAAAGTCAGTGGTACTGCACACCTTAATGCTGGCTACAACAGCCCCAGCCCACACTGCTGTTCCATGTAGAAAACTCCTTCCAGGAGCATGGGAGGGTATCATACGGGGCCCTTGCTGTAGCAGAGGGTGAGCATGGAAAAGATCAGCAGGCTCTGTCACCTTGGTGACTTCTCATCAGAGAAGATCCAGGGAGCTCTAGATGGGTTTTGAGAGGAGACAGGATTGAGGAGGAAATTTCCTTTCTTGCTGCATGTGTGGTTTTTCTCTGCCTTTGGGTTGCACCCAGTCGGAATTGGCCCCACACTGTTTTAAATAACAGGTATTTGTACACGGGTGTAAAAGCAAATGTGGCAGCTTGATTCCTCCTCCTGCCGGGAGTTCCTGATTCTATATTTTCCCTTGGCAAAATGGATTATAAAACAAGCACGACCCATGAAGCCAGGTGCTGTTTTCAGTAAAGAAACCCTGTACATCAGTGACCAAATGGTGCTTAAGATTGGCTCTATTCTACACTCCATGGATGCTCAAATTTCTACCCAACAGTAGGAAAGGAGTTCGGAGTCTTCTGCTGTAAAAGCAGCATCTCCTTACCTGTCAGCCGTAAAGGGCCTCTGACAGACCGTTCCAGTGTTTCATTTATACAGTTCGATTTTAATATAGCATTGATCCAAAGTCTCACTGCACCCAATGGAAGGCTGTGGGAGCCATTCACCCAAGCTGGTTCATTACAACATGCCTTGGTTCTTTATTTTAATTGTTCAAATAGTTCTGATTGGGTCAGATCCTCAACTGGTATAAATCTAGTTCTATTGAGGTCCATGGAGCTGCCAATTTACACTGAGGAGCAGAGTCTTAATTGATGTCCAGGGAGAATTCAGCAGTTGTTGCATTTGAAGAACTAATTGCAGAATTCCCCCTGGGCTGCAATTTGTAAGAGGCCAATGTATCGTGTATCTGTCTCTCACTTCTATATTTCTGTGGTACTGGAGTCTTGGGTTCCTCAGTAAAGAATCTGATGAGCTTGGTAATCCATGGTCATACGGCTGGTGTGTTGGAGATTTATTGCTGGTACCTACTGTAACCGTCCTCGTCAACTGCTTCCCTCTAGATCTGATTGACAGGGCCTTCCGGCGGTTCAGACACAAAAACATTGTGCATCTAGCCAGGCTGAAGAACGGGTTGAATGTTTTGGAGCTCTGGCATGGGGTCACTTATGCCTTTAAGGACTTGTCCTTGTCCTGCACTGGTCAGTTTTTACAGTACTTCCTGAAGAAGAGGAAGAAGCACGTCACGATTCTCGTAGGTAGGTTACAGCTGAGCAGATAGATGCAATTCAAGCAATGTACTTGGCATTTTTCCTGGTCCAGGGGCTACCAAGAGGGTCGAAAGGGCCTTATGTGGGTCTGCTGCACTGGGCTATATATTACATGGACTTTACTCTCCTGTTAGTGAGTGGAACTGGATTGATAACTAGTAAGTTTCCAGGGTTATCTCCAAAACATGGTGGCCAATGTGCCTGCCTTGACCTAAAGAAGCATCTTCATTGCTTCAGCTCCCAGTCATTCCTTGCTGCTGAGACCACCAAAGGCGCCACTGGCAGTGGTGGGTTGTGATGCAGACATATCATTAGGCTCATTTTCCAGTGTTAAATGCCGTGTACCTGGCACTAACTAAGATTGATGACTGCAATCTTCTTCTGTGTGAGAACACACACTTGGCTGAGCTTTCCATCATCAATTAACCTTTCATTAATAGATATAATACGTTTCTCCTTGATTATGTTCAAATGCAACAGGAACTGCGGGAGACACCGGCAGCGCGGCAATTGAAAGCGTGCGAGGGGAAAGCAGGATGGACATCTGTGTGGTGTTACCCAAAGATCTCTGCAGCCAGATACAAGAGCTGCAAATGACGACGGTGATCGAGGAGAATGTCCATGTGTTCATTGGTTTGCATGTCTTTGGGTGACCTACTTTATACTGTTGCTGGGTGGATGTTAGTGCCAATCCCAATGTGAATTGAGCATTAGTCCTAGAAAAACCTCGGGGCATTGTGTTGTACGCTGCTCCCACTGTGGCAGTAATGTGTTGGGCTATCAGCCAGCATGCCTTGTATGCAGTATTGTTGTAGACTTGTTTTTTACGATATTAGAGAGAGAAGGTAAGTGAGGTAATATCTTTTATTAGACCAACTTCTGTTGGGGAGAGAGAAAAGTTGTCAAGTTTCTACAGAGCTTTCCTTCTGGTCTGGGTAGATTTCCCAGATCTAAAGAAAAGCTCTGTGTGGGTCAAAAGCTTGTCTCTCTCACCAGCATCAGATGGTCCAATATAAGGAATTAACCTCCCCCTCCCTCATCTCCCTAGTCAGCACTAAAGTTATTTTTCAGCACCCCATGCCTCTGAGTAATGGGAGGCTAGTTGGAATACCAGATCTCCATTTCTAATGGAGATCTGGTATTCTAGTGGAGAAAAGCCTCTAGATAAGGCTTTTCTCCAATGGTTGACTGGTATTTACAAAGACTGTTGTTTTGCACCAAAAGAATGTGACCTCCCTTCAGGGGTAATGTATCCTCTTTGCTTCTCAGTATTTCCTCTCCCTTGAAAATAATTTGACTTGTTCTGGTGAGTTTTCTTCTCAGAGGGATCTTTCATGACTCCCTTTGGCCTAGGTAGTACTCTGAAAAAAACTGGGAGTCACAAGTTATGAGTTCAATTCCTAACTCTGCTGTTGGTTCATTCACCTTGGAATAAGCTAGAGATGGGCCCAAAGCACAAACCCACAGCAAGACACTCTTAAAACTAGGGCATTCTGAGTCATTTAGATTTGGCACCCGCGTCTGGATCCAAAGATTGGTGTTGGATCTCTCTCTGTGTGGTGGCTGAACTGAACTCCAGTTTAACGTCTAGAATAGCCTGTCAATCTTGAATCCTGTTTGGCTGGTGAAAACAAATATTTTATACCTAAGTCACCAATTTCAGCAACATTTCAATTAATACTCCTGATTGTGCCTTCCTCTTTTCCGCAGCTCATGGAAACAGCGATGAAATTGATGAGTCGATCAAAGAATTGTTTGATGATACAAATTTTGCCAGAAAACACAATTTGATAAGTTTGAACTCACTCAACTGGTCCAGAGTTATGGTGCAGATCGCTCACTATTTCTACGCTTACTTTCAATGCACTCCATCCATGGATGTGACTCCCCTGCCGACTGTGGAAATCGTTGTGCCAACAGGGGCTGGAGGAAATGTCACAGGTTAGTTGCGGGGAAAAGACATTCTTTGCGTTTGAAAACCAACAAGCAGCTTGAGATGAAGAGGGAGGTTGGGATTTTTATTTTCTTGAATCACATAGATCATGATTATTAATATTTAAGCCTCAACCACGTTTTTAGTGCCATATGAGACACAGATGATCATAAACATTGCTATGGTGCCATATATAGATAATATGGGCATGAGCACATGAACAATTCACATGAACAGAATGAGTTGGATACTGAGGAGAAAAAATAGTGAGGATCTGTTTTTTTCCTAAATTAAATGCGAATCCATGCGTAGTAGTGTAACTCATCTGGCCTGTCTATACATTCATTAGCTCATGAACATTGTCCTAATGAGGTGAGGTGGGGAGAGGGTAAGTCATAGTAACAACTCTCTCCTAACTTTACCATTCTGGCTTTTTAACTTTAGGGGAATCATGTCTATTGGAAAAACAATACAAGGAAGTGATGAAAAAGTCACATCCATGATATTTCAAGGGTGTCTAACTAAAGCTGCATTAACATGTTGGCAAGAGTACAAAGATCACATCCCATTTGGAATGAAAAACATCTTCCAAGGGCCCCTTTCTTCACTACATCTCTTAATATAATGGGAGGGTTGGCAAAGACTGCAGCACCAACCAGGTAGTGGTCTCTTTTGCAATGAGGCTGCTCAAATGGAGCATTGCATAATGGGAGATATAGTATCTTTGGACAATACCTGTATATTAAACATTGAGCTGCATTATGGAACATAATTTTTGGCCCCTCCTGATAAACTGGCACAAATGAAGGAGCAATGATATTACTGGTAAATCTGCTTTGAGGCAGAAGGCTGCATTTTTAAATTTTTCTTTCCTAGCTGGATATATCGCACAGAAAATGGGCCTTCCAATCCAACTGGTCGCTGTGGTAAATAGTAATGACATTATCCACAGAGCAATTCAGCATGGAGATTTCTCAATGTCAGGGAGCGTTAAGCCAACCTTAGCTTCTGCAATGGATATTCAGGTAGGTCCCTAGTTAAGAATGAGAGATCATACGTACTGTGTTGAATGATACATCTACTAAACGTGTGTGGCTATGCATGTGCTATTCTACATCAGCTTGTGGGTGTGTGCGCTCCTCCTGTGTGTTGTGTTGACTTTTCACAAGTAGTCAACACAGCAGACTTTGAGAGAGCCCAAAATTAGATAAGGACTGGGCCAGGTTTATTGTCAAACAAAGTACAATAAATAGTTGTTTGAAGATTCTACCGAACCATTATGCATATGCACCCCTTACAATCTGTGTTGATAGTACCAGTGGTGGGTTGGAAAGTGCCACTGGCATTCGGAGAAGGTGAGGAAAGTTGCGATGATCCATAGTCCCTGATAGGTCATTCCACAGCCTCAGACCATCTTCTAGGCAGCCCTGTCTTCTGTACAGACGAGCTTCTCCCCTGTGCTCCATTGGGCCTGAGAAGTGGAGTAAGTCCCCATTGTTTGTCCCAGAGCACAATGAAAAAGCCTGGGTCTTACTCTTTGCCAAGTCATCTGTTTTTCTGCTCAACTTCTTTCTGATCTGTAGCCAGGTCATTGCATCGTTTCTCTGTTCTGGGGTAACACAATCCCACCAGACAAGCTGTTTGTATGTTGCCTCAGGCAGTCTTCTCTTCCAGCTGTAGGTCCTGTGCCGCTTTGTTAGTGGCTGATAAGGGAGTCCTGACCCACCTGCTCCTCTGGGTTCTAGCCCAGGGGTCCTGCAATCTAGGGCTGCTTGCTCTGATACCTTGTTGCTGTTTCTCAGAGCTCCTACCCTACCTTCCTATCTCTGGTTTACCACAGAGCTTCCTGTGCTCTCCAGAGCTAATTTACCCTTTTTGCTTGGATCTCCAGTGTAGAGCAGCATCCCAGGCTTACTCTCCTCCTGGATCTCCTCCTTGTCCATGGCCAGCTCCCATGTTCCTGGACCAGAGAGCCCCTGGAGCCTAGTAAGAGGAGAGTCAGCAGCTCGCCAGGACTCTGGGCAGCAGGACAGGCAGCCTGCCTGGGGTCACCTGGCTGGGTCTGGCAGTAGAGGGGGCAGAGTCAGGGGGCCGGCTGGGGTGGAAGCAGAGCTGGAAGTGCTGATCAGAGGCGAGCTCGGGGGCTGGTGGTAGGGGACCTCCCCTGGTCCGACAAACGTCCTCGTTCGAGACTGGTCAGGTCCCAAGGGTGCCGGATCAGGAACATTCAACCTGCGGTAAGGAATAAGTGAAATAGTGAACATCTACTCATTCACTGAGCACTGTGCACTGTTTTCACTGAATGTGGCCAGAGTCCTGTAAGGGAGAAAAGGGGAGGCTGAAAAACTGTAGCTCTACCAGAAAAGATTCTTATGTAGACATTCCAGTCCCTCCACATGTGAAATGAGCTGCGATTTGTTTCTTAGGAGGAGCAATTCCAATAGTAACAGGAATGTACAGGCCTGTGCAAACTCCAAAACGTCTGGGTGCACCTTGCAAATAGCCTGGATGGAGCCAGGTAGCTGGATTTTTCCACTTTGGCTGAAATATGCAAGGAGCTGAGCATCTGCAATTCCCACTGAGCATGCAGGAGGCCCTAAGTACGAAGGGTCCCACTAGAGATCACTGATGCTGCAGCTTCTGAATTAGATCCTCCGTCAATGCAGGCTCATGTGTGGTGTGTGTTTTTATAGGCTCCGTACAATATGGAGAGGATCTTGTGGCTTCTTTCCGACTGTGATGGCAGCCTGATTAAAACTCTGATGGAACAGTTTTACATGTCAAAAAGACTCACCCTGCCAGAAGAATTGCACAGAAAGGTAGGTCCCTGCATGTGTGCAGAGTAAATACTTTCCCAGTGCAATTTTTTCAAAATCAACTGTTTTTAGAATAAATATTAATGTTGCAAGTGTACTGAAGAGATCATGCCATGTTATCTCAAACCTAAAATGTAGGTGCCTGTAGGAAGGTCTTTCTTTAAAAAGTAAATAATTTTATTGGGATTTAAACCTTTCCCTGCAGTTCTAGAATCACTGTATAGTAGCAGGTGCATTATTTGTACATAGGATCAAAACAATCTTATTTCATTAACCAACACCCCGATCCAACAAAAGCTTTTAATCAGGTGTGTAACTTTCAATTTGTGAGTGATGTCTGTGGGACTATATGCACGTATAACTTTTTAAATTAGAGCTCTGATGAACTGGGCATCAGACTGGGAGAAATACGAAAAGGAGAAAAATAAAAAGTAAGCTAATGGTTTCAATGTTTGTTATCTCCATGGAAAATAAAGACTGGCAAAATCCTTGTTAAACAGTGAAAGATATGAATTATTGCACTCATCATATTAGGGGAGCTGACAGCCTCACAGAGCCCCTGCGCATGGTGTGTGGCTAGGTCTATACTAGACCCAGAAAGTCGGTGTACGGTACACAACTCCAACTACGTAAATAAAATAGCTGGAGTCGACATACCTTAAGCTGAGCTTGGCACTGTCTTCACAATGGGAGGTTGATGGGAACAAATGCTCCTCTGGGCTTCTCTTACTCCTTGCGACTGCGAGGAGTACCAGCACTGACTGGAGGTGCCCTCAGCATTCGATTTAGCGGGTCTTAACTAGACCTGCTAAATCAAATGACATAATATCGATCTCCAGCACATAAGTATAGATGTGGCCTATGAAGGAGATCCCAGCTCCGTGCTCCAAGAAGAGGCAAGGCCTCAGGTGGAAGGAGCGGGGCCGGGGCACTCAACTCTCAGTGCTATCCAGACCGTGGTGTCCCCTCCATCCCTCAGAGCTGCCCATTGCATGCCGCGTGGCACTCTGGCAGCAATTTAAAATGCCCAGGGCTCCAGTTGCCACTGCTGCCACAGTAGCTACAGCAGCAGCCAGGAGCCCGGGGCCTTTTTGAATTGCTAGGCCCCAGGGCAATTGATCCCTTTGCCCCTCCTCCCATCAGTGGGCCTGCATCACTTACGTCTGGAGGTTCTTTAGATCAGTGGCTCTCCACCTCTCCAGACTGCTGTACCCTTTTCAGGAGTCTGGGTTGCCTTGCGTACCCCCAAGTTTCACCTCACTTAAAAACAACTGGCTCACAAAATCAGACATAAAGCACAAAAGCGTCACAGCACAGTCTTACTGAAAACCTGCCAACTTTCTCATTTTACCATAGAATTATAAAATACATAGAATATAAATATCATATTTACACTTGAGTGTATCGTATATAGAGCAGGGTAAACAAGTCATTATGTGGCGTTTTAGTTTGTACTGACTTCGTTAGTGCTTTTTAATGTAGCCTGTTGTAACAGAAGGCAAATATCTAGGTAAGTTGATGTACCCCCGAAAGACTTCAGCGTATTGTCATGGGAACATGTACCCCTGGTTGAGAGCCATTGCTTTGGATGGTTTGGGACTGATATCCTCAAATACCAGCATCAGTTTCATTGTGTCCCCCACAAAGTGCAGCTATTAACTGACGGAGCTGGGTGTGCAAAAAGCCTGGATAGGCTGGATTGACCCTGGTGATGACATTAATGTGTCCAGCAGCCATGCCTGTCTCTCTTGCATTCAAGACCCTAAAAAATAAGCAGGACTTACATACAAGCGGTGACATCACAGAATGAACTTTTCATACATTTTTGAACGATTTAACATGTATTTGCAAAATCCACTGTGGTTTTCGTGTATGATGGTTGGGGTCTGTTTCTGTTTTTTCCCTCTCCTGGATTTCCAGCTTGCTGAGGCCCTGCGCTCATGTTCTGCGTCTGATGAAGATATTGTCCGAGCAATGAGGCGCTGTTGGGAAGAGAACTGCTACCTGTTATGTCCCCACTCAGCCGTGGCTGTTCATTGCCACTATAGGCAATTGGAGTGCCACCTCAGCAGGTAATCTCCTAAGGCATGGCCAGATTCCAACACCCCGGGTAATCATATGAGGCCAGCATTTGTGCCACTTAGTAGGAGAATTCTTAAAGGACCCTAATTTGTAGTAGGAGCTTTTGGAATTCTGCCTTTGTTCAAGTGTCTCCAGTACTTTGAGCAGCCTGGTTGACTCTGACGATGCAGATGTCATGGGCAGCAGGATAACTTTGGTTCTAATTGTTCCATGGTAGGCAGTTTTTAAGGGCGGGTGTAACACACATGTTTCAGGCTGGGGCCATTATGCGCTAAGGTCAGGTGCTGCTGTCACTCAGGCTGGTGTCTCACCCATGTTGGAGTGAGGCTGCAGCTAAACCCCTCAAGTGCTGATAGTCCTCAGTGTCTCTCCTACCCTTCGTGCCTGGAAGAATGGACAAGTTCTCCCACTGTTCACTGAGGGAGAATCAGAGAGCAGCTCAGCTTCCTTCAACACAAGGTGCCATGGGCCTTTTAGCAGTACACACAAAAGGGAAACGCCCCCCTTGAGGACAATGACACTGCAAAGCCCTGCCTGAGATAGGGTACGTCTAGACTACAGGCTTCTGTCGACAGAAGTTTTGTCGACAGATACTGTCGACAAAACTTCTGTTGACAAAGAGCGCTAGACTACATTGAGTTCTGTCGACAAAGCAAGCTGCTTTGTCGACATGGTAGTGTAGACGCAAAGGACAGTTTACATGCAATAACACCTTCTGTCGACAGAAGGCGTTATGCCTCGTAAAATGAGGTTTACCAGCGTCGACAAAACTGCTGAGTTCTGTCGACGTTATGTCGACAGAACTCAGCGGTAGTGTGGACACAGGTATAGTTTTGTCAACAAAAGTCCACTTTTGTCGACAAAACCCTGTAGTCTAGACACACCCATAGAGTCCTCAAGGGTGTGGCCCACTTGTGTGTATGTTGCTAAAACTCAGACTTGTTGGCTAACTGCCATCCAGCCGGTCTGACTCTGAAACGCATCCAGGGAACATCTGTACCTGCTCATGCTCCATGTTATTTACTTCTTCACCTTCATGTTCCACTCTGATACCCTGTGGTAGAAGCTGGGGAACCCCAGGGCAAGCCTGTACTCCATTCTGGTCCCACGGCTCTGCGGGGATATAGGCTGGTGATATAGGTCCACTGACCCCTGCCTCTTCTGCAGCATGAGGGAGACTCTGGCTCACCTCAGAGTGGGTGCCTCAAATCTCTCTTCTAGCTCCACCAGAGCTTCACACTGAGGTTGTGACTGCACTTTTCCCACATCTGATCCACTCACCCCCCCTCCGTGCCTCACTAAGCTGTGGGAAGTCCTTGTGAACCTCCTCTTAGCACTGGCCAAACTGGCCATCCATCACAGCAGGAGGAGGAAGATGGAGGGGCCTATTTCTGGTCCCTTTGCAGATCTCGCCTCTGGGCAGAGTTCCTCTGGGCTGTGTCCGTGGACTCCTTACACACTTTTGAGGAGCTGTGAGTGCTGCCTGGAGTTCTCTGCTCAGTGTCCCCCACCTGGCTCCCTCCTTCCTAATCTCTGACACCACCCCCTCCTGTTTTCTTTTTCATCGTCCTCAGAAATCCCAAGCTCAGTGGCTCTGCCTCTCCCTGAGGGGCCTTTTTGTTTGGGTTGGGGCTACACCCGACTGGCCCCAGAACCACTGATAATGGTGCTCTTACATCCTATGTCTCTCTCTTCCACAGCAGACCCAGGTGCTGCTTAGCACCCGCCTCGGCAGTGAAGTTCCAGGATGCCGTGCTCAGAGCCAAGCTTGTTCCTGAAGTTCCGTCCGAGATACAAGCTTTAAAAGCGATGGAGACCAGGTCTACCACCCTGACGCGGGAAGACGACTGGGCAAAAACCCTAAGAGCCCGAATAGAAGACATGGCCAAGCGCAGACAGACGTAGATGGAGTTCATCAGACCCTGAATATGCAATTACTGGGTTGCCTATGAAAGACAAGGCTGCCTTGATGATGGTTAAGCTTTCTGCTAGATTCCGTTCCTAGGAAAGTCCTAATGAACTCGATAGGGGATTATAACATCCCCGTACAACACATAATCCAAACGATAGAATTCTGTAGCAGGAATAGTATTCTTGATCAAATTCTGAATGCTTTAAAAATATAGAAAGGGTCTGGGCTGTCAAATTCTACAGGGTATATAGACTAACTTAGAATCCTGTGTACGCTCTTTGGATCCATATGGAAACATTCTTTCAGATGTATCTTCAAAGTGCCTGATGAACATGAGTCATTATCTGACTAAGATTTTATGCAATTATTATTAGCCCATATCTGTCCTTTCCCTCGAGAAAAAAAATCCTAAAGGAACATAATACCAATTGCTGTAATGACTTTTTTCCTTCAATAATTGTGTTGTAATTTGGAGACCCAATAAAAATGAACTACTTTCCAAAGTACAGTACATAAAATCCGTCTCTGAATTCTGGTTACTGTATCCCTTTTTTGATATTTTGTTAATGCTAAATTTTATCTTGAAGGCCAAGGTTATAACAGGCTTCAAAAAAGACCGAGAGAAAATCATGGTGGTTAGGTCCATCAATGGCTATTAGCTAGGATGGGCAGGGGCAGTGTTCCTAGTTTCTGTCAGAAGCTGGGAATGGGTGACAGAGGATGGGATCTCTTGATGATCACCTGTTCTGTTCATTCCTTTTGGGGTACCTGGCATTGGCCAATGTTGGAAGACAGGATACTGGGCTAGATAGACCTTTGGTCTGACCAAATTTAGCCGTTCTTCTCTTCTTATCTGATTCTTTAAGGCTGTGTCTAGACTACACCTCTCTGTCAACAGAGAGATGTAGATTAGGTATGTTGAAATTACTAATGAGACAGGGATTTAAGTATCCTGTGCTTCATTAGCATAAACATGGCCACTGCTTTTTTTCAAAACAGAGCTCTTTCAAAAAAAAACCTGGCAGTCTAGAGGTGGATCTGTCGAAAATAAATCCTTTTTCGAAAGATCCTGTTTTCCTCAAAAAATGAGGTTTACAGGATCTTTCAAAAAAGCATTTATTTTCAACAGATCCGCGTTTAGTCTGCCTTTTTTTTTTTTGAAAAAGCTCCGTTTCGAAAAATAGCGGCGGCCATGTTTATGCTAATGAAGCATGGGTTATTTAAATCCCTGCCTCATTAGCAATTTCAATGTACCTAATCTACATCTCTCTGTGGACAGAGAGATGTAGTCTAGACGTACCATAACTGTCCACTATAGCTTAACTTTTTCCATATTTTAAAACTAGAAGATATATCTAGCTCAGGTTCTTCACTCAATGAATTTTGGGGGAGAGGGGAAAAGGTTGGGTGGGGGAATAAAATGAAATTGTCCTTACTTCATTTCAATCATTGCTCTGGGATGGGGCTGCGATGAGGGGTTCAGTGTGCAGGCTTCCCCAGGGAGAAAGGATTACCCCAGCCCTCTCTCCTCGCAGCAGCTTGGGGATAGGTGAGAAGCATTTCTCCATGGCCCCTGCAGCTCCAGCATGCACAGCTGGGGGAGGGATGCATGTCCCCAGGATGGGGCAGGTCCAGGTTCATCTGTCCCTTGCGTTCCCCAGACAGAGTGAGGAATGCAGCAAAGTGTGCACTTTCACCCCACTCCCTAATGAAGGGGAACATCCAGCAGTGTTCCTATATGAATCAGGGCAGGTGAGTTTCAGTCCCCCGCAAAGGGCACTGAGGGTGGGAGACTCTGGGCTGGAGCAGTCCCAGATGTGGGGGAGGCACCCCCAGCCAGCCCCTTTGCCCTGGCTGGTGATTCTGTCTCTTTTCTGTATAGTTTTCTGAGAAGCAATCCCATTCTCAGCACATCCCGTTTTCCTGGCACAACCAAACCCTGACTTTGCTTTAAACTAAAAGAGGAAGCTGCATCCCAAATTTGGCAGTCCTAGCTCTTACCATTTAGGAGTTCTTGAATGTACAGACAGACAGACAAACTCTCTCAGATATATAGTAGATAGAGCATAAATTGAACGAGTGCTGGCTAGTTGTCACCTGTATGCATTAGGGATGTAATGGTATAACTGTTTTAACAGTTAATCGATAAGCATGAGTCTGTGGGTTATTGTAATGGTAACATGCAGCTCCCAGCCCCTGGCCCTGCTTTCAGGTAGCCAGCTGCCACTCGCACTGCAGGCTTTACCGCATAAAGATTATATGACAGAGTCCATGGTACAGCTGGCTCGCTGGGAGTGGGGCTGGCAGCTGGGAGCCAACCCCCAGCATGCACTGGCTGCCAGCTCTGCTCCCGGGGTGCCCACAGCGGGCAACTGCTGAGATTTTCAGTGGTTACACGGTAACCTAATTAACCTTTTTTAACATTCTTAGTATCGATTCCAACAGCCTTAGATGGTCTTTGGAGACTTGGAATTCCATTTTGATGTACGATAAATGCCAGATCATGCTTCAGCTCCACGTGCAGGGACTAATCTTCACAATTCAATATGTGGATTTTTCCACAGGGAGTTGCTTGCTTCATTTGCATGCAGAGCTATTCAGCGCCTGCACTTCGGGTACTTGCACAGTGAGCAATGCAGCTCTTTCCATGCCAAATAGTGGCTCTACACAGGCAGTTGGGGGGCGTGATAGAGCACACAGGCTAGGCAGGCAGTTTGGCACTCAGGAATGTGGGCAACATACTTACACGTGCTAGAGAAGCCACCTCACTGCAAATAACAGGGAGCAACCAAACGATAAAAGTCTCCGGGTCGGGGAGTGGGGTGGGGGATGAAGCCATTCTGTGTCCAAAGAAGAGAGGCTGAGTTAAGAAAAAGTTGGATACTGGGGGGGAGGGGGAAGAGGTTCTGTCTTAAAATGTGGATGGATGTGCTACCAAAAGAAATACAAAAACCCAACCCAACTTCAAAGAGGTATGTTTTCAATTATGGAGCACCTGGGGCTTGTAGTAACTTCATGAACACCAGCAAGGTCTGGTGTCACCATAGCCTGTGATGGGAATTAGTCATGTGTGTCCAGGTGGAAGATGAATGACAGGGCACTCACAGAGCTCAATGGTTTCCCTTTGGTGTCCACCATTCCTTTGCTCACTTCTTTTACCTGGACAAATGTAGCACAGTGTCTTGAACTAGCAATGTGCAGTGTAAGTTTCAAGTTGGCAGCCAGATAGATTGTAGAGAGGGGGGCATCAGCATGCATGGGAGTATGTGTAGTTGGTTTTAGATTAGAAGTAGGGAGGTCCAGGTGTGCAGCTAAAACAGGGATTCCCCTGCTCTGTTAATAAAGTGTATCCTCCCACAATTCACTGCACTTGGATCCCAGTTCAGGAAAGCACTTCAAGGATTAAAATCTTTTAACTGTAAGCACATGTGAAGTGGTTTCTTGATTCATGGCCGTACTCTACTTAATTGCATGGGACTTTACAAATAAATCAGTTCGTTAGCTTGAGTTAAAATTAATTGAAAAATTAGATCTTTCACTAATTTAGGAGTCTTTTATTCTGAAGCATCATCCTAGGAGAATAAGATAGGGCAGGTCTTCACTCACAGCCTTTTGCTGATGCAAGTTACATGGGCAGGAAGCTGCCACAGTTAGGATGTTGCTTGTGTGCATACTTGGCTCCTGGTATTGGCACAGTGCATACTCACCAGAGGTGCGTGTGTTCATGCACAAAGTCGTACACCAAGCCCCCTGTTCTTTTAATCGCTACCAGAGTTCCGGGCCACGTGCTCTGGGCAGCAGTAAGGGCAGGAGGAAGGCAAGGCCAGGTCTCACCCTTTCCGGGAGAATGGAGCTGGGGACCCCACCACATTGTCCAGGAGCTCACGGATGTTGTTGGCTCTGCAGGCCTGGCCTTACCTTTCATAGGCTGATTCAGTGGAATGGGATTCTCTATCTGCCTCCGCCCACAAAGGCCGACAGCAGGCCAGCCGGTTGCTGTAAGTGTGTCCCCCAAAAGCTTTGGGCCCAACCACCAATCACTGGCATTGCTTGTGCCTACAGTCAGCACTGGCTCCTCCAGCTCCAGGCCTGTCGTTTCGTGTGAAGAAATGAACGTCCATCTGTAGGTGGCCACAGCAGGTTCTCATAGCCTAAGCAATTCCTCCAGGATGTGACCTCCACAAGTGTCGGGCATCTTGGCACTGCTCTTAGCCTAGGATAAATGACTTACAGGCCAAAGCTGGGCACTTCTCAGCCACAGACCAGTCCAAAGCAGCTCTCAGCTATCGCCACCGTTCCTCCTGCCCTGCTTTAGGAAGTGTTATCCTAGCAGGCCACCTAATGGAGATGGATTGTGGCAAAGCACAAGTGGGAGTCTTTTGTTTGGGCCCGTCTGCCATAGCCCCGTGTAAACAAACGAATGCAGCTCTTGGGCTCTTGTGACTGCCTTGGGCATGGTGGGGGAGAGGGGAGGCTTTGCGTTCCTGTCTCACTTGATCGATGGCTTGTGCACGGCCTAAAGGCACTGCACATCCTGACTGAGAGGTTTTTGTTGGGATAATGACTGAGGAGGGGGGACTGGCACCTTTGCTAATTCTCAGGGTTTAGGCTGTTCTTGGTAGGAAGAGAGCTCATACATATAATCTGAGGTGACCTTTCACACGAGTGGAAAAGTGGATCTTTCAGCTTATGACCTGGCTTCTAGAGGTTTCTCAGATCACCTCACTGCAGACGGGAAGTGAGCGAATGCTCCTACTAGTTAATGCATCTTATTTTTAAGAAATTGAACAGCCAGTGGTGGTTTAGGCAGAGTTCCCACAGCCCTCCGCTACCCGAACATGGGGAATAATACAGCAGAGGATCACCAGCTTCCAAAACAAAGTTCTTTGCAGCCCCTGTCTGCCGGACTGACACCTCCCACTGAGAAAACCATATACCAACAAAGCAGTCTGTTCCAACAGTCTAGGACGATGTTTCACACAACTCCATATGCAGGAGTAGTAGCAAGCATAGTCACCAGCGCTGTCTTCTCTCCGGCCTTCTGAGGTAGAGACATTTCTGGCTCTAAACATAATTTGTGTCCATTCACATCATCTAGAGGAGGCAGGTAGCTGATGGTAAAACTTTCTGCAAATCTAGTGCTGTTTAGGTTGTGTGAATTGCTTGCACCCCTGAGCAACATATATAGGTTGACCTAAATTTAAGTCCCATGACTCTGGCCATGTCTGCACTGGAAAATTAGGTAAACTCAGCTCTGTCAGTCAGGGATGTAAGAAATCCACACTGTGGAGCTACGTAGTGAAACAGACCTGCATGCTGGGGTAGACAGCAATAGGTCGGTAGGTGGGAGAATTCCAAACTGCTGCCTTTCCGGAAGGTGGATTAACTATGGCCAAGGAAGAGTTTTTCCCACCGCCATAGTGAACGTCTACACTGAAGCAGTACAGAGGTGCTGAGATCTGCCATTCCAGCTGAGTTCAG